ATAGTTGTAATCGGTTGTTGCAAAAGATTTTCCCTTGCAGAAAGATGAGAAGTGATTTTGCTGAAGTTTTATAGCCATAATATTATAGGTCCCCAACTTCTTATGTTGTTGCAAAAAAATTTCTCTTATGCCACCAATTACAATGTCTTATCGGTAAGACATTGTTGTAATATTAAAATTATTTTTCATCTCTATCACGTTAACCAAAATTTTCTGAAGAGAGAAAAAAATAATTTTTAGAATTATAATTAAATTTTACCAGTAAAATATAATTATAATTGGTTTGAGAAGTGATTTTGACTCTAGTTCGCTTTTACCCAATTCAAAATATATATTTTTCTCTCCTCATCTCTAATTTGAGGAGAGATAATTTTACAACTTTGAAAGGAAAAAAAGAAGAGTTCTCCCTCATTTAAAATCTTCAAAGGAAATATTGAAGCTGCTTTTCTCTTTCCACTCCTTAATTATTAAGCTTGTGATTTGTTTTCCATGAAGATGAAATTTATTGATACGACAAAAATAAAAGAAGCTTATTAGGTTTATATATATATATATATATATATATATATATATATATATATATATATATATATATATATATAAAAAAAACTGTGGCACTAAAGTTTAAATTTATAACCTCATACAAATTATTCAATTTTTTACCACTACAAAAAATCCTAGTGGCTTTGTTAGGTTTATGTTTATCATCATATTTTCAGGTTCACGAATAAGTGAAATCTATTTATCCTCATCTCTGTCGAGGTTTATTCCTGGGCAGTCCTGGAAGGATGGCGTATACTGAAGATGTGTTAAACGTTAATTAATAGATAACAATTGAATCCGGATGAAAATTGACTCTTTCTCGGTGGAGCAAATATTATGGGTATTCTTTAACCAATGGCAGACCCACAAATGCCCGCAAGTGCGGACATAAAATATTAGATTTCAATTTTATGCTTTTTTTTGTTGTAGATCTTTTTTTTTTTTTGGAAATATTCCATCGGTTCATCGCTTCGCGATTAGTCCGATTCGGGACAGGTTCAGGATTAAGGCTTTAAACCCCTCCCAAAGGTGGTACTGGGGAGATTCGAACACATGCCCTCACCCCCACCTGCTCAGCTCCCATGCGCCAACTGAGCTACCACCATTGTTGCAGATCCTTATTTGTCTCTTGGTTCAATATATATATATATATTAGGAGTAAATATTCTTTTAAGTCCCTAACAAAAAATATGATCCCCATTTTAGTCCCTTACAAAAAAAAATAGTCTCGAGGTCCCTAAAAAATTTAAAGTAGATCAATTTAGTTAAAATCATGGTGCTTCAAAAATTCAAAAAAGACCTACATTAATTACTCAAAAAGACCAAAATAGATCCACTTTGAATTTCATAGGGACCAGGTGACTAATTTTTTTATAATGGACTAAAGTGCAGACCAAATTTTTTATTAGGGATCAAAAAAGATATTTATTCTTATATTAGTTAGCAACGTAACAACGTAAGGAGATGATTAAAACAACGTAGCAATGCAAATTGATTAGTGAGAAAACTTATTCTTCTTCCCCTGTCATGTACACATTTCACATGCTCTCTTCATCCTTTGTTTCCTGTTTCATTTTTATAAAAAGAGAGGACATTCTCAAATAAGTTAATATCTAGAGATGAGGTCTTCAACGTGATTTTGATTGCCTTCTGTACAGGTAGTGTTGACTTTTTTATTCATCACTATAAAATAGAATGATGATGTATAGATGTACCGGAATATATTCTCATATTTGTTTTGGAGGATTGGTAAGATTTAGGGAGAAAATAATTTGTCAAACTATTGTCTGCAGCTTGTTATGGAAGCAACTAGATTATGAGCGGGTTCAAGCGTTGATTTAAACTTTCTTTACAAAAAAAAATTCGGAAGCAGCTACTAAATGTGCAAATATAAATAAAATTTTCTGAGTATGCCACCGCCTTTAACCCAGGATTTTGGTGCCCCAAAATTCGGACTATTGAAGCCCATATCCAATCATAATCATGCAGTTAAAAAGATAGTTCAATTTATGAACATTCGCTTCCCCTTCAAAAAATTTTAGCTCCCTAAAAGAGGAATTAATACATGCTCATAATTTCCCCGTCCATTCACTTTTATCATGCTCGATCAGTCGGTCGTACCAAGAAAACAAACTATTATGCATTTGCTCACTATTCTCTCACGAGATCACAATACTTATCTAGTGATTTCATCTTCTTCTTCACAAATTTGGATCCCGTTGTTTTATATTAAACTAGTCAAGACAGCATGTTAATTGTTTTCTTTTAGTAAACCTTATTGTTTTAGAGCCAAATGTAAAGAATTCAAGTCAGCGTAAAATTTCTGACACGGGGTTATATACTGATGGACTTCTTTAAGTATAATGGGATCCAAACTTTACTTGCTCGTGAAAATATTGTTCTTAATTACTTGTGCATAAAATGGAAATCTTTTTGACAGAATATGCTTAAGATGGAATTGACTTCACTAGATTTGGTTGCAGGTGGTTGAGTTTCTTGCGCATTTAATGGGTTTGAACTTCGAAAGGTGGTTATGAAGAAATATGATATGGTAGTTGATAATAAATTGAGGCACGGGAGAGAGTGTGTTTTTCATATGTGTATTATTATGATGGACGGTTATTGTTCTTTTACATTATCCGAGTGACTCAATTGTTATCGGGAGAGCAACAGGGTGGCGGATTTCAGACCCCTTTCTAGGGATTCTTGGTTAGACATAAATGATTTGGCTGGTTTTTCTATGGATTGTAGTTTCTTAGGCCTCCTTTTTTACCAAAATAAATATATAATTTTATTGTTTCTCATATTGTTTAAGATAAATTTATCCCTTACATGTGAGATCTATATTTTTTCTTTCTTTCTCTTCTCTTCCCATGGGCCCATATAAGTCTCAGACGCTTTTATGTGTGGATAGTAGATAAATTTTATCTCGTACAACATGAGAAATATTAATCTCATAAATAAATATATAAAAATGTAGTTGCCTTTGTGTTTTGCCAACCGAAATTCTAATTAATTCCTTTTGTTTCTTCTTCACCGTCAGAATAAATTAGGAGGGGGTGTAGGGAAATATACAATGCTTAAATTTTAGGATCATAAACTCTAAAATCTTTCTTATAATAAGTCATGTTATAAGGATATGTCTTGTAATTTCTGTTAATCATATGGTAACTAATGTACTTAACATTATGTGAGACTTTAGGAAAACTTTGTTTGATGAGGACTATGATATTAACATGGACAAATTAACTGGTAACTAGTGTGTTATTCATTGCACGATTGTCACATGATAAATGAAAATTGACTTATAAACATTTCCCGTAAACGTTAATAACTTGCTCACAATGACCCCAAAACGCTGACAATTACGTTAACTACTGTAAAAGTGACATTAAATAAAGACGGAACTCTTACCCTTCAACCTTTCCCCATTGCCCATGGAAGTTGATTTATGAGGCGGAGCAGTTCTTGTGTAGACATGTGGTCTACTATACTTTTGTATGGCTGAATATGGAAATTTCTGTTTAGGTAGAAATGAAGGGTTTAAGTTGGATAGGGGCTGGAACTCATTAAATAAAGCAACTAGCTAGTGACTAATGACTATGACATCTTCTTACCATCTAATATGGTTGGTTCTTACAAGCATGGGTCCATTAGCTGGAGTTTGTTTTTGTGTATAGGTGTTATAGAATAATATAAAATTGATACTTTACATTTTTATCAAATATTCAGTGATCATGAGATCACGACTTCAATCCTTACCGCATTCACTTTTTTATTGGGAAAAAATAAAGTATATAGCAAACCAAAAATTAGACTTATACAATATCCATGCTTCAAGCCTAAATAATTATTGCGTGAGGAGTTATGTTAAAGAATAATATAAATCATTATAAACTTCCTCACCCAACTACTTAACCTCTTGGGTTGAAGTGATTGTTTACAATAGGAGTGGGAACGTGGTCTTCCCCACCACTCTGGGGTTGGTTTCATCACTTTTCCAACAAGTGAAGTCAACCAATTCCTTTCTTCTAACCACCATAATAAATGATTAATTGGTGAGAAAAGGAGAAGAGTGAGTTTCATGGCTAAGGGGGAAGCCTTAAACAAGTAACTTTCTTGCTTCTGCTTATAAATATATTGGCAAAAGCTGTTGCATGCATTATCTTCTTCAACACTCCCAAAATATGAAGGGGTCTGCACCACCACAGCAGCAGATGTCATACTATGATCACGTTCACAAGCGCCGTGAGGAGAAGGGAAGCCTCTATGCTTGGTGTGTACATCTTTAGTTCCCATTTCTCTTTATCTTCATTTTCTCCTTACAAAATTCTCTCTTAGTTATACAGTACATGCTGATCAATTGACTCTTTGGTTTAGTTTGTTTACACTCTGTTGCTGCTTTTGCTGCTATGAGAGTTGCGAGTGCTGCTTGGAACGTACCTGTTGTTGCTGTCCCTAGATTACCTAACTTCCAACAGACGTTTGTCAAGTTTGTGTTTCATCATTGACATTATATGAAATGATGATTCTGGGAGCCAATAAGATATAATCTCTGAATCACAACCATGTAATTCAATTATTTTTAGTTTTCGTGATATTGTTACAATATATGAATCCATTGTGCCTGTTAAATAAACCAAGTGCTGCAGCACAAGCAGTAGTAGTAGTGTAATACTGAAGTAACTAACCAGGACTTTGAGCACAATGATATTAGTAATCTGGACTTCCATTTGAACATACGGCAAACAATGAACACTTGTTGTGGTTCCTTTTTTTTTTTTTTTTTTTGGATAATCCATATGTATCCTTCATGGGAAGCAATTCTGTTCGAGTTGAGAATATCCACATTATAGTGAGGCTAACTTTCCCAAAAGAGATTTTTTGCATTTACAAGGACTTAGAATTCAAGACCTTGCTTAAACGGAATCAAGCTTGTACCACTTGAACCAACCCTCTTTGGTCTTCTTGTGATTCCTTTAAACATTCATTCCTCAAGCAAAACCAGAAAGAATCCGTCATTATGAAAATATTCTCTATACATTTGAAGGAGAATAGTGCAGATACATTGACTTATCTCTACTTCTGATGAAACTAATTAATGCCGAATGGCCATTTTGATTCTCTCAAAGAATTGAAAAGCCAGTAATGTCCTATCATCTAGTTAACCTAGACACCTAGGATGGGGTTCCTCTTTTCATCTATTTCGATGGTTAGGAGATGCTGAGGATCTGAACCATTTGGACCCTGAGAGTAAAGTGTAGGAAGGTATGCATTGTATGCTGGCAGGTAGCGAGAAACAAAATCTCTCACCTGGAGAGCACAAACCATGAAAAAACCTAGCTTTAGTCATTACAAGGTAGATGTTGCAAGCACAGAAGAGATAATAGATATCAACATATATGTGTATTTAGTCAAACATAAATGCATGTAAGCACTAAACCTCATCATCAGACATTCCAGGTTTGCCTGCCTCTCTCATGGCAATCTCAGCCTGCAAATTCGAACAGCAAATACACAGATGTTAGCCTGTTACAATCAGGTTCTGAACACAGTTTATGATTTCTGAAAGAGGATTTTAGAACAACCTACCTGCAAGCGCCATTGGTAGACACAATTTGGGTCCTTAATCTTGATGACTATCCATGACTTTATGTATTTGTCCCAGGCATCATAATAAGCTTCGAGGTTTTTATTTACAATTTCTAGCTGAATAATAAGCAAAATTGATTACTTCTTTATACAAAAGCATAATTCATTAGCAATTCCTCCTATTATTAGAAAAGGGTGGAGAATTTGCATAATCAGTAAGTCCTAATCAGCAAGTCAGTATCATAAACTTAATGTGCGTATTATGAAAGATAAAGGAACTTTACTAATTCTAACCTGGGGATCAACAACCTTTACAGCCTCAACTGGAAGGGGCTTGAAACCGAGCATCCAACCTTCAAACAATACAACCTAAAAGGCCCATCCATGCATGGTAACGGAAGGATCAACACTTTTGAAATGATATTGAAATGAGATAAAGAACAGTTGTTTTATCGCATGAATAATGTCACATTCCCACCTTATTATAATTTGAGTTCTGGAAGCAAATACAATTTTTTTCAAAAGTTAATGTTGTACTTCCTTCTTTTATGGAGGAGAGGAGGGTAATTTAGGTGGTTAAGAACCTTACTTCAGTAAGCTGGTTTTTTTTTTTTTTTTTCATTTTTTGTTTCTGTTGGATCATTTTTACGAAGTGAACCAGAACCATCAGAAGCAGCTTAAAAGTTACAATTGAAGATTCTTTTACCGTAAGTGGCCCTTCAACTTCTGGCCATGTCGAAGGATCAGAACGGTCACCTCTCCCACTGAATGCAGACTGCAAAGCCAGGCAATTTACCATTAGCAACTACAAATTCAAAAATTGTTTGAAAAACTGAAATATGCAAGTTATGCCTTACTTTATCATATCTTGGTAACTTCATCTTTATACCTGGACACTTCAAATAACAAGGAATTACACATAATATACAAATATGATAAAGAGGGGAAAAAATTACAGAGAACCACCTTCTCTTGTCATTTTTGTTAAAGCTGTCAGAGTTTCAACAGACAAAGCAAGATCATGGCTTCCTGCATTTCCACGCAACTGGAAGGAAACAAGGCAAGAAAAAATATTTTAGTTATCATAAATCATTATATCCCTAGATAATATACTGTTCACCACTTCAATTAAATGTGTATAATTACCTGAAGAAGTGCATTTCCTGGATTAGCTTCTCCTAGTTTATTCTATAATTCAAACACATAATTTGTCAGTCCAAAAGAAAAAGAACAAGATGGGAACATCAACTGTGAAAACAAATGTAGAAAACAGCTTCTATATACCTGACCTTCAGCTGTCAAATAAAAATCATCTATCGATATTGTTGCGCACTTCCTGAAAATTTTAACATATATCAGTATTTTGTTAATTAATCTCCTTTCTATATAGCCATCAAAACAAAGGATTAATTCAAAGATCATGTTGCTTCAGAGTTCAAAGCCTACCTGCCAGTCAACCGGAAAAGATAGTCAAGAGCAAAGACAAGGGTTGTCTTTCCGCAGCCTTGAGGAGCACTAAATCCAATCTGAGGCATACAAAGTGAAAAAAATTAATCAGCTGCATAACACAAATACATAGAAAAAAACAAACTATGAGAGTGAGAAATCATGGAAAGAAGCCATACCACCAAAGGAGGTATATCTTCTTCATCTTTGAACTTGGACCGATGCAGAGCAACCTCTTGTTCACACCAGAGAAATACTGGTACATAGTAGTGATAGACCCTAGCTTTTTGAGGCTCTGTCAGGTACAATTCATTAAGCTGAAACAATGTGCATAGGTTCCTACCATATGATAACCATTTATCTATGGACTCTGCCACCTTCTCTTGTGTCATACCAATTTTGTCAAGCAAAGGTCCTGAACAAATGAACTCAAAAAGGTCTTGCACAGAGGAAACTTGGGCAGGTTTTGTGGGAAACACACAACATAGAGGACGCTTTCTGTACTCAATGCTGTCAGCGGTGGAACTGTTTTGTAGCCATGAACTTCCACTGCCTACAGAAATTATTGTAATAGTAAATTAAAGATGATATAAATAAATTCCAACAACTTGAGCTTGAAGATGAAAATAAAGCTTCTAATGTTCATTCATTTTTTTTCCTTCTCCTATTTTGTCTGAAAGATCAAAGAAGATTAGAACTTGATTGAATCCTTAATAGTAAGGTCAAGTATCAATCATCATACAAGTTCAAGATTTGTCAGAAAATCTTCAATTCAAATGCCCAGGAATGAAAATTATATAATAAGACTAAATTATAAAAATTTGTTTAACTTGGAATGAAAATTTATAACCTGGATAAAACAACTGATGAGTTCTAATTCACTAAAGTGAACATAGAATGAAGAAAAAAAAGTACCTGACTTTGAGAAGTGGGGGGGCAATTGAGGGGGCTTAGAAGAGCTAGATTGGGTGGATAGAACAGAGAAGTGATGGGAATTGGAAAATAAATTTAATTTACAATTGTTAGAATGATGATAGGCATTGTTGTTAGTATTTGAACAACAGAAAGAAGGGTAAATTGTAGGCTGCCATGGCTGTGAGAACACATTCAAAGTCGCCATTTTTATGTCTCTTTCTCTCTCTACTTTGCAACAGAAATCACCAATTGAGCTTAGCTGCCACGTATTCTCTGCCTCATTTATCAAAGTAAAGATTAGAAGAGGAGCACCATAGAAAATAAAAATTTCTGCAATATTTTATCCATTGTTATTAATTTACAATATCCTGCAGTCTCAACATATTTACATAATTGCATGCCAGTAAATTGAGAAGAAATTTATTGATGTGATAAATATTTTAATTTAATGTTTAGCTTGGCTTGTATTTTTTTTTTCTTCTGGATTTGGAAAAACAATTATCATTTCTTGAATATAATAAACACAATAATGAATATAATTCTTTATAAGAATTACAGTAGGTGTTTAATGAAATAATTACATTTTTTTTATAAGAAATAAAAAAATTTATAATTTTTTAGATTAAAATTAAATATTTAGAAAATGATTTAAAAATAAATACATACAACCGGAAAATAAAATACGGTGTGTAATATGATTTATTTCAATTGTAGATAAAAATAAATAAATTTAGTTAACCTTTAAAATCTGTTTAAACTATACTTCCTTCTCTTTAATTTTAAACTTTACAAATAATTTCTCCAAAACAATCAATTTCTACACACACAAAAAATGCAATTTTCCAAATGGTGACTTTAAAAGATATTTAGTTTGTTTCTATGTTTTTAATTTTATTTTTTATTTTAATGATTATAAAATTCTAAATTTTTATTTTGCTTATTTTTTAATTAAAATAAAATGATTTTTTCAAACCGTAATAAAAATGTATTAACTAAAAAAAAAAGTAAAATGCCCTTTGCTTTTCGAGTTTAATAAGTTAAAGGGCAATGTAGACATTTCAGCTGATTCTTCTGTTTTTGGTTGTTTGGGTAACGTGCGGATTCTTCTGTTTTTGGTTGTTTGTGTAACGTGCGGCCCATAGATAGAGATTTGCAACGCTCATGGGCCCATGAAAGTACGGCAACCGTAGGTTATATAATGTTTATAATTTATAAAAGGAAAAAGTGTGTATCATTTCAAAAGATGTAAAATTGTGTCATTTTAAGTGAGAGAAAGAGATAGATAAAGAAGAAAAGAGAGTGGACAAAAAAATATGAAAATGTGAGTCCCACCTCTTTGTGAAAGTGAAATGACATAAGTTATGTCATTTAAAAGGACACACATTTTTTCCTTTAAAAAATCACTTTTGAAACTAAAAACAAAGCTTCAAATTTGTACTAATATGTTTAAATTTTTTGGGCAAAATAGTTTTACATTAAAATCATGGTTTTGTTGTCAGAACTACAAAAGTAACATTTTGTTGCTTTTGCAATGAAGAAAAACTCCACTAAATATGTACCAACAAAAATATCCTGGTAATTTTATATTACATCATTATTTTAAACAATATTTATATACTCTTTAATAATTACCCATTTAAAAGTGATTTTTATCAACAAATTCAAATAACATTTTTCAACCAAAATTACTTTTTTGAATAAAAGTTTCCAAACATAAACATTTTATAAAACCCACTTCTCAACAAAATCAAGTTTAGAAAATCAATTTTAAGCAAAATCCAAGTTTATAAAAAATAATCAAAACACAAATTATAACAATGACAACCATTGCTACATCTATCTGAGTTCAAAGAACTCTAGGCAACATGCTTGATCTTGTTGAATCAATCTCACACAAGTGACACAACTCAGCAAGAACCCCAACCAAAGGTCATGAAATGAATATACAAAAGATATTAAGCTTTCTTTGCGAGTTTGGAGGGGAAGGGAAGGAAAGTAATTCAAGAGAGAGGAAGGGAAAGGAAATGAAAGGTATTCTCTTCCCTTCTTCCCTTGTTTGAGAGTTAAAATCTCTCAAACTAAAGGAACTTTAATTTTAAGAATAAGAAGGGTTTTGTAAAAATCTTCAAATCTTTTCCCTCACTTTTTTGAACTCACAAACAAGGGAAGGGATTAATAAAACCCTTCCATTCCATTTACCAAAAAAAAAACCTTCCATTCCTTTCTTTTTCCTCCTAAAACTAACTCCGAAACAAACCCTAAAGAATAGACCGGGACAATTTGACATAAGTAGGAGGGAGGATTACATTACACAACAGGCATGAGATCATTTGAGTAGCAAAACTGGGAGTTTTCCTTCTGTGGCGTGCATATATCAGTCACAGTTAAGGGGTCCCTTGCAATCATTTGTCAACAATCTTTATCTTCAGAACAGACTTTCAAGCAGTTTTGGTGATGACAAAGCTGCTACACATTTAAACTGCAACAGAAATTCTCATATTGAACATCATGCAAGTTACTAGTAAATAGGTTTATTATTGTTGAGATATATAAAACCATTAATGTAACCTCACCCAACAGCTTAAGCTTTTGGGTTGAAATGGTTCTTTATAACTATAATGTACAGAAACCAGGAATTGGAAATATAAACCAGCTTTAGTCTCTCTCTCTCTATCTGCCATACCTTGTCTTGCCTGTACTTTGTGTTGATGGCAGTTAAAGGGCAGCCATTGCTATTCAGCCGTAGATTCTGTAATCCAAGAACTGTGGTTTTCAAATCTGATGCTTTGTAAGAGGCATAGTGTTGAAGAGTTGGATTCTGCAAAGATAAAAATAAATAATAATAATGATAATAAAAATAATGAAGGTCATGCTTCCTTTATGTAACTTCACATGGAAGGAAAATATGAATGATAAACACAAACCCATGGATGGCTTGATTGATCTAATGTCCATCTGGCAAGAAATACAGCAGATGCAGCAATCATAGAAGGAAGGAAATTTAAGAAACTATAGTTCATCAGTGTTAGTTCAGCTAGGTAATTGGCCAAGTACTCCAATTCAAAGCTGGGGCTCTGCAAGTTTTTTTCAGTAGGCAAGTGATTAGTGATACTCAAAACGAAACAATCTAGCATGTTCTGGACCAAGAAGCATTGATCCAGATCAATCTTATCACCTTGTAAGAAGCTTGTGCTGCTCGAAGAAACCTCCTAAGAAACCAAGAATGTACTCAGACAATTGCATGAGGATCTCCAAATAACACTGAAATTTTCTTTTCATTTTTTCGTAAAGACTGCTTGATGATAAAAATGTCAACAGGTACCTGAGGAAAGTTTTTGTAGTGGGAACAAACAGTTTATATGTAGAGGACTTTAACACTTGAGTCTCCATTTTTAGTACCTGCCACTCCCATTATTTATCAATACTAAAGAGTCCAATAATTCTGATAACAAAAGTGCCATAATACATACCCCAATAATGATAAGCAGCATACTATAATAAATACTATTTTTAAGACCCAAAACAAAATCCACTACTGTAAGAATGAATTCAAATAGCCAGAGAATATGGTATGGTGCTTGAGATTTTCAGTTCTCGTGGTGGGACATGTATGAGACTTCAATTTTTTTCAGTTTGAATGTATATTTTCCTTGGTATGTATGCATTAATCATTTGTTGTTGAAAAGCAAGACATACTTCCTCTTTTGAGTATGTGTTGTCTGTGATGAAGCAGAATTCTTCAATTCTTGGGGCATTAATTTCTTCATATTTCCTTCAATCACAGAAAAAAGAAGACAAATGAATATTTTTAAATGCAGATGCCACACAGATATAATAATCTGAATGTTATGATGTTGAAACATTAGCATAGTTGTCACAGTCGATGCCAACTAGCACGAGAAGGAAGAAGCAAATGTAATTTTATGTCAACAGTGTATGAAGTAAACAACAAAAATTTCCATCTTTTGCCTTCTATTATTCAAGTTCTCTTCAATGATTCAAGGCAAAAATTCAAGCACCAAAAGGGTTGTCAAAATGTTTTTGGTTATTCATCATCAGATACCACGGAGGAAGAGTATCCTTGTGCCTAATTACAAAAACAAGGGAGATATTCAGAATTGTTCTAACTATAGAGGCATTAAGCTAATTAGCCATACTATGAACTTGTGGGAGAGAGTTATTGAACATCGCTTGAGGAGAGAGACCAAGATTTCTGTAAATCAATTGGGATTTATGTCTGGAAGATGTACCATAGAAGCCATTTTCTTGATACGACAATTAATGGAAAAATATCGAGAAAAAAAGAAGGATTTACATATGGTGTTCATAGATCTTGAGAAAGCATACGATAGGGTCCCAAGAAAAGTTTTATGGTGGGTTCTTGAGAAGAAAAAAGTATCATTAAAGTATGTAAAGGCAATCAAGGATATGTATGATGGGATACTACATGCGTGAAAGTTTATAATGGAACATCAAGTTATTTTCCTATCACGTAGGTGTACACCAAAGTTCGGCTCTAAGTCCTTATCTTTTTTTCTTAGTTATGGATAAACATAAACTAACAAAAGATATTCAAGAGGAAGTTCTATGGTGTATGCTTTTTGCAAATGATATTGTGCTTATTGATGAGACCAAAGACAGTGTTAATAGAAAACTTGTGGAGCACATTGGAGTCTAAAGGATTCACGTTAAGCCGGAGCAAGACTGAGTAAATGAAGTGTGAGTTTTCTCTGGTAAGAGATGTAGACCAAGATCTCGTGCATCTACTTGGTCAAGAGGTACCCAAGAAATATGTTTTTAGATACCTAGGATCAATTTTGCAAAAAAGTGGAGAGATTGATGAAGATGTAAATCATAGAATCAGAGCAGGGTGGATGAATGGCGTAGTACATCTGATTTTTTGTGTGACAGGAAAATTTCCCTTAAGCTAAAAGGAAAATTCTATAAAATACCAGTAACACCTACAATGTTATATGGAGCTAAATGTTGGCCAAGAAACGTGAGCATAAGATGGGAGTAGCAAAAATGAGGGATGTTAAGGTGGATGTGTGGTTATACAAGGATGGATAAGATAAGAATTGAAGATATTCGACAAAAGGTAGGAGTAGTACCAGTGGCTGAAAAGATGAGAGAACATAAATCGAGGTGGTTTGAGCTCTTCATGAGAAGGCCCCCTAGATGCTCCCATAAGAATAAAAGTTTGTTACCAAGAGCTAGACACAAAGAAAGGTAGAGGTAGACCGAAACTTACTTGGGGGAAGGTAATAAAACAAGACTTAATGGAGTGAGATATATATTGGAAAACGGTGCGCCATAGGACGGAATGGAGAAAAGCTATAAATATGGTGAAGGTTAGACCCGTTGTTATTCCTATGTTCCAGATGGTCCCCTTTCAATCATTTTCCTCTTCATCTCCCCCCTCTTCTTTTCCCCTTCCCCATTTCTTTTTTCTCACTTATTTTTTTTCCTACACCTCTTTTATTTTTACTAATATATATATATATATAGGAAAAAATATTTGTTCTTTTAAAGGACATAGAATTGTGTCATTTTAAGTGAGAGAAAGACACAAACTAATATTTTTTTATTTAAAATTTAAATTAAAAAAAATACCCACTTTCTCCCCCCATGATTTCCATTGCTTGTGTCTTTTTCTCACTTAAAATGACACAACTCTATATCCTTTAAAAGGACAAACATCAAACCCATATATATATATATGGTAAAATCATTTCTGCAGCCGCTTTACGTACAGCAACGACAGGTGTATGGTTATGATTCCCCACATTTAATGCTTTCATCTTTTGTAAGGTTATGATTCCCTGCATTTAATACTTTCAAATATATATGGGGCAAGTATTTGATTGTTGCACGTAGATCAGCTGCAGAAATGTAAACCCATATATATATATATGGAGCAGGATCATTTGACACCGGTGTCAAATTTTAAAATTTGACACTAGATCCCATCCGTTAATTTCCGTCAATCAACGGTTATCATTTATTGGGAATTAATAGTAATTAATAAGTTTGATTCTCAATAAATAATAACCGTTATTGGCGAAAATCAAAGGTTAGAAAAATTTGACACCGGTGTCAAAGGATCTTATCCCTATATATATATATATATTTTTTTATTTTATATCTTTTTTCATTCCCTTCGTATTTTTCATTTGGGTTCATCTACCACCGATCCCGATTAACTTGAGATAAAGGTGTTGTTGATGATGATCATCAGATAGCAGTAATAGTTCGACTGTTGTTTATTGTTTTCATCAACATCAACAACATCTTTATCTCAAACTAATTGGGGTCGACGGTAAATGAACCCAAATAAAAAATACGAAAGAGTTGAAAAAAGATAAAAATAAAAATAAGTAAATAAAATAGTAATAATATATATGTATATATATATATATATATATATATATATATATATATATATATATATATATATATATAAGTAATAAAAGAAGGGGAAAAGAAGAAGAGGAGGGAGATGAAGAGGAAAAAGACTAAAAAAGAACTATCCGGAACATAGGAATCACATAGAAACTGTTGTTTATTGTTTTCTTTTAAAAAAATTCTTATGACGGTTATACTGTCTACTAAGGTTATAGAATATCCAGGTAAGTGAAAATAATCACACCATATTATTTTTGGTTATTCATCATCAGATGGCAATAATAGGTAGACTGTTGTTTATTGTTTTATTTTAAAACCCTTCCTGTGTCTGTGATACTGTCTACGGAAGTCATGGAATATCCAGTTAAGTGAAAATAATCACACCATAAATGCAACCATCTCAAGGACAGAATATCTGTCCTTGTCCAGTTTTACCTAAGCAATGTGTAAGCTGCAACAAAAGGAATGTAACCATCAACCAACTTGATCCTCAAGTTTGATATTTCGATTTCCATAATTGATCTTGGTTAACATACATTATTTGCTGTTGCACAAAGTCTACACCTTGAAATGTTGAAGTAGTTTTTGTTTCCTCCTCTCTGGTCATTGGTCAAAATGGCGGAGTCAACAAAAGGTCAATCAGTATTGTCCTTAAGTGCATATACCTGGCTTCTGCTATTTCCTAGTAACTTGTCAATTGAATTGTTTAGTTTAGCTAAATAACTTGGTGTTGAAGCATCAACTCAAGTCAACTAATTTACAGCCAAGCAAGTTGACTGTGGTACTGAAACAAAGACAGGGTAATCTTTTATCAGCAAAGATAAAATCTTTCTTGAATGATCATCCATTGACATAGAAACAAGGATATAGTGCATTCTCTTCGTAACACAAGCATCAAGAAATTGTTTGTTACCATACAACTGCATCAACTACTCTGAAAAAATTCAGTTTTAATTTATGACATTATGAACATAATTACATATACCCCGTTGAAGAATATGAATGAGAAGGCAAAGGTCAACATCCCTGAATTTGAGTACTTACGAAGCAATTAGCATGCAGGTGATGCCAAGCAGCTGAAGTCTTTGTCTTTCAATGTAATTTTCGGAGAGAAACCAATCTATGAGATATACCGTGAGGTAAAGTGTGTCTGACACCAATTTGTATTCCTCAGAAACCTGAAAACAATGTAAATCATAAGGAAATTCAATGCATCATTCTAAGTTATAGTACAGATTATCTGCTACAAACAGCAATCTCCATTAAATTAACTAGGAAATTTGATGCCCCTCAAAAAAAAAAAATCACATTAACTTAAGAGAGGAATCATCAGCAGCAGCTTCACAAACTCAATTTAGTTCATCATGTTGTTAGCAAACATCTGATAGGTTGAATGTTGTCAACATATTAGAAAGTTAAATAATGCAAACCTCTACAAGCCAATCAACCAGTATCCCACGCATGCTTTGAGTGATATCTTGCTGTACTCTTTCCATGAAGTTAGGATAAGGCCTTCTTGACAGCTGAAAAATAAAACGTTTGACAAACAACTTAAGAAAAAAGGCAAGACCAAAGAGAAACAGTTGACAGAAAGGTTATAAAAATTCTGTATTTCATTTCTCAAAAGAGTTAGAAACCAAGTATCAAAACAGTGCTTCAATTGAATATAAATGCTTTACCAATTATCATGCATATTATAAAGGTTATAACTATCTGTGACAAATTCAGAGCAAGGTTTTTTTACACCATTACAGCATTTTATGCTAAAACAGTAGGAGATATTATTGATTATATGATATGAAAAATCTTAAATTCAGAAATTTCATGATAGTAAAGGGATAAAAGGGAAACCACAGAAATCATATCTTAAATCTTGCATCTTTATCAGGTTCCATAAGACGGCCATATACAAATGGCAGGGCATTTAAAACACAAACCTCAGTAGCACGCAAGTTGTTATAGATATCAGTGGCGTAGAGGCTGCACAATTGAGAATCTTCGAAATCAGCATCTATATCAGTGACATCAGGATCTTTTGAAGCATTCAAAAGTTCAGAAAGGCTACTTTTCTTAGCTGCAACAATTTGTACAGCTGAGACCAAAAAAAGGAAAACCATAAAAGTTACATCAACTAAGTAAAGCAATTTCTTGGATGAAGTTCATGAACAGATTCACTAACCCAGCAAAATGCATTATATTTGACTACATAGTTATAAATATTGTCACTATAGCTAGCTTCGAAGCAACAACTGTATATAATATCAAGAAGGAAGCAGATAATCTTCAAATTTCTCAAAACAAGAAAGCTCAGTTGCTTCAAATATACAGTCAGTTGCATTAGCAATAAAAATTCACAGAATTGGTTACTCACTTACGCCAGGCAAATATTAGTTTGCAGAACTAATATCAGCGTTTGCTAGACCACCTTCATATTTGTGTGTGGCACTACAAACAAAACCGCATATATCATATATAGCATAATAGTGCACTATTTTCTAATGTGATTGGCATTTTAATCTTGTTTTAGGTTCCTCAGAGTGTGAAGACCCCAAGGAAACTAGATATACTTTAATTGCAAAGCAATCTCACAATTCAGAAGCTCATATAACCCTTTGAACTCCATATACTAACTACTTTAGGTTCAGCATAATCACTCATTTTATAATCCCTTAAAAATATATTAAAAACAAAAACTATTAGACATTGTAAAATGGTGTATTTAAGCAATCAACAGACCATTATATACAATAAAGTATATCATAATATGCAAGTATCCAACATATTACTATTGCAGTCTTGCGAGTGAGAAAATAGACAGAAAAACCTCTCTCTTGAGAAATCAAAGGCTCAGAAGATATTCCAGATGTCTGGCTGTCAAGCAGACTATCATGTGTGCCACACTGGTTGGCTCTTAGCCAAAGAAGTGCATCTGCATTGTCTTCCAAATTAGTTGAGCACATAGCATCTTCTGATCTAAGCCCTGTTTCTGGAAAACTCTTTCCTTTTGAATCAACTTGAAGTTGTGGTAGCTCCACAGCAACTGAAGGAACTACTTTGGAAACATTAAGTTGAACAGTCTTAGCCAGCTTGCTTTTCTTAGTCTGGCAGACAGAAAAATTACAGGGGAAGTCTTAGCATCATAACTAGAGGAAGAGGAAGAGACTAAATTTTCATGTATGAGATATAAATCTACCAATAAACTTCAAGACAAATAATAACAACCATGGGATAGGTTAAAATAAAATGTTTTCTTGCCACAAATAGTTGGAGCTTATTTACATCAAACTGGATGCATAGCAACCTGAATTTTAGTTGCATTGAAACAGCTCCTATATGTATTTTCACAGCAAACGTTAGTGACATCCTGAAGAGCAACCCTCTTTTTATGCGGAAGACATGTATTATCTGAAACTGCTCTTTTTGGATTGGCTCCTAAGGGCTGCTTCTGACTGGCTTGTGCTACCCCCTTCAGAGGGGGCAACTGTCCAGATGCACGAAAAGCAGCAGCTCGAGCACGAGTCAATCGACCGGTGAACTCTCCAGATTTCAAGATGACACTATTTTCTTTCTTCATGTCCACAGAATTCAGGAGAAAAGGACAATAAATCTTGATGTGTGAATCCTACAACAAAAAGACCAAATAATGAGACAGGAAAGCAAAAGTAATTCACACATGCAGTGTACATTAGTAAATTGTTATAACACTGATTAAATATCAAGGAGCCAAATACATGAAAATCTAATTGGGGGGCGGAAGTAAAAGACCCATCTATATATTATTATTCGTTATCAGTGCCAACATTTTTTTAGCTAATCAGCAACCTAACATCAAAGATACTACATACTTCGCTTGATCTAAGTACGCATCAGGATTCAGCAATCTCCTGTCCCATGTTTTAAAATGCACGATGAAAGCAGCAAATTTTAGATTTCATAATATGTTACTCAAAATGAAGCATACAAATGACCTACCTTAAACATGCAGCCAAAATGTTTGAATATGGCATTCAGAATTCAGTTTACCTCAGATAATATTACGCAAGAAACTTCATACAAATCACCTTTTTTCCTTTGTATATGTATATGAAACAAAAAGTCTTTTATGATGGAAAGATTATGAATTGTGAAATTTAAGATCAATGACTAATTTAAGTTTTCATCAAGCAGCTCATACAGGAATTTGATTAGTCAAGAAAGATCGGATGAACGTCAAAATTTAAAAAAAAAAAAAAAAGACCTGAAGATAGAGGATGTGCAGAGGATGTGCAGATTAGAGTTTTGAAAGGAGGATAAAGAAATCTATCCAAAAGCAATTTTCTTGGTGCAAACCTACATTTATGAATTATGTGTTGAAATTTAAGATCAATGAATAATTTAAGTTTTCATCAAGCAGCTCATACAAGAATTTGATTAGTCAAGAACTATAGGATGAATGTCAAAATATAAAAATAAAAATAAAAAAGACCTGAAGACGGAGATGTGCAGATTAGAGTTTTGAACAGGAGAATAAAGAAATCCAAAAGCACTTTTCTTGGTGCAAACCTACATTTCAACGTGGAAAGAACAAACAATGCTAAATAACAAGAAAGACAACCCCATTAGCAAAATGAAAATGGGTAAGTGAATGAAATAGAATGCACTGTTCTTTTTAATCTTTTCTAAGTTTCCCATTTGAAAATGAATCCAAGACTCAATCTTTTTGGGATATTGTCTCATAAACCAAAATAAGATTTACATAAACCCACCCAGAAAGGACTTCAAGAAGTGGCTTTCTACACAAAGAACGAATGGGGTCTATATTGCAAGCTCCACAACCTCCATGCAAGAGAGATTAGAGGTGGCTAGTGTTCGTTGAAAACAGCTATGGATGACGAATAGAAGTTGTTAGGGAGCGGGATGAGGATTTGAGTTTAAAAGATTTGGGAAACAAACAAAAACAATGGAGAAAAAAAATATGAAAACAATTGGAAAAAAAAATCGAAAGAAATATTTTATGGTTCTGCTATTTGATGTTGACTAAAACAAAGGAAAAGACACAGCATTGACTGTGTCATAGAATGTTTCAGATTTACATAAGATTGTGATTGCTAAATTGCGAGAGTAATATGAATATCACATCTTTTTTACATAATTTATAAAAAGAAAACGTAGTTCTTGCTGGAAAAAAAAAATTTGCACCAAGAATATATAATTATAACTATTGTATTATCTGTACGATGCACGGTAAAAAAAAAAAAGTCAGTTTGTTTGTCTCGTAAAAATTAACACAAATTTTAAATAATAATGATAAATTAAATTTTGTAGGACAAAAAATATAATTATATCACCTAACGTACAAATAATAATAAAACACCATCAAACAATTATTTACACAAATTTAAGTGTTGATAACGAACCAACACCTGCAATTGCAAATGTGTTAAAACAAAGTGGCAATAATAAATTATTTTGCTGAAAACATTTTGGCTTAAGTGTGAATACAAATTCAAGGTTGAAAGGATTAATTTATAACCACTTGTTCAAAATCAAAACTACTTGGGTGTTATTTTTCTAAACTACTTGTTCCAAATAAAAAATATGTTTCCCTTATAAAAAAAATCATTCATGCATTCAAAAATAAAATATAAAATTTATCAATAATACAAAGATGCAACACAAAATATAATTCAACACCATTTTGCATGATAATAAAAATAAAAATGTGAAATCCTATCATAGCCATAAACTACGATAACACCAATAAAAATAAACCCTATATATTATAAAATTCATTCATTTCATAATCTACATTACAAAATTATAATTGGAAAACTATTTTTTTCTCTCTTTTTCTACATCAATAGATAACTTCTGAAGAGAGGGGGGAAATAGCTTTAAGATAATAATTATGTATTTTCAAAAATACATAATTATAATCGGTTGCTACACAAAAAAAATTGCAGTAACATAAAAAAATGGACCCTTTATATAATAGACAAGAATTCACACATAATTTATTATGTTATTTTATCAGACAAAGCTAATTTATTATATATTTCATGTAAATTCTTGCCGAAATTAAACATAACCTTAATTTATATGATTTAATCACAATTAAATTTTTTATTAATAATTGAGATATTATTTTTTACATTTCCATGTTTTTTTGTGGCAATGAAAAAAATATTGATTTGATAAAATTGATATTTTCATAGTTCATGTTATACTTCTTCCTTTGTAATTTGTTTAATTTTGGGGCTTTAACCACCTATCTACTATATATCTAGAAAAATCCATTTTGAAGCATGTCAACGGATAAAACAGAAAAAAATCAGTTCTTGTTACCCTTAAAATAGAACTTTGTTACACTTTACAATTTAAAAGTTAAATTAAATAGGATTCTTAAATATAAAATCATCCACTTACCTTAGCATAGCTCCATATCACATACATTTAATTTAAGTGAGCTCGTAATACATTCAAACTTGAGAGAGTAAATATTTTTTTGGATCCCTAACAAAAAAATAGGATCCTCACTTTAGTACCTTACAAAAAAAAAATAGTCTTGAAGTCCCTAAGAAATTTAAAGTATACCCATTTTAGTGTTTTTAAGGGATTAATGTGGGTCATTTTTGAATTTGTGAAGGACCACGATTTCAATTAAATGGACCAACTTTGAATTTATTAGAGATCTCGAAATTAATTTTTTTTGTAAGAGACTAAAATGGGGACCGTATTTTTTGTTAAGGACCCAAAATGATATTTACTCAAGTTGACATTTATTTTGTTGTACATTCAATTTAATTTTAAATACGTATATTTACTGCGTGTGATTTTATCATATTTTGAAGCATCTCCTCAATAGTTTATTAAACAAGAAATAGAGTTCTTTATTCATAAATAAGAAACAGAAAATTTGAGAGTTTAAAATCTTTATATGCATATTTAAATTATTTGAACAATTGATTAAGAATCACCTATATCCATATGCTATTACATAAAAAAGAATTTATGCAATTCAAATAAATATCACATCTCAGTTATGTATAAGTTTTTTTTTCTCTTCCAAATTTATTTTCACTAGATGAAACTCTATTTTTTATGTATTATAATTTTAATAAGCTAAAAGTTTTATCCATAAATGATAAAATATCTCTTATCTATTTATATAATAATATATTAAGTATTTCCAGTTTTAAATTTTAAATTAATTAAAATAACATTTATACTTATTAATTGAATATTTGATTCTCTTATGTTTGTATGAATACTAATTAATCATCTACTATATTGAAGGAAAAATTTAATTAAAATTATCATCATTAATTTCGTTTTACATAAGTAACAAAATATTGTTTAGAATCTCTGAGGGACCACGATTTTAATTAATTGGGTCTATTTTGAATTTTTGAGGGACCACAAGTCGACTTTTTTTAATGGATTAAAATGGGGGATAGGATATTGTAACAACCAATTAATGTTACTACCAATGTTACTACCAATCAATTTCACCGTTAGATCAATTATGTTGATACAACGATTATACTTATTTCCATCTGTGTATGGTTATGATTCCCCATATTTAATGTGAAAGCATTATATATGGGAAATCATAACCATACAAAGGTGGAAATAAATATAAAGTATTAAATATGGGAAATCATAACCATACAAAGATGAAAATAAATATAACTATTGGATCAACATAATTAATCTAACGGTGAAATTGATTGATAGTAATACTAATTGGTTATTACAATATCTTTTCCCTTAAAATGGACCCTGTGTTTTTTCCTAGGACGAAAAAATGTATTTACTCTTTTTAAAAAGAAGATTGCCTTTGGTGTTGGTTCCATAATAACTCGGAGGCTTCTGAGTTTAAATGCTTTTATAGTACCAATGTTGCAAATTCGAATTGTATTTGTGAAAGATAAAATATGTCAAATGAGGTGTCATTGAGCAGATCTCGAAAAGTTATGTGGAATAAATTTTTTTTTTACCTCATTCAGATACCCAAGTCAAAAGTGATGATGGCCTTTAGAAATTTTACGTTAATTTGTTGATTTTTTTTTGACACGTATCAACACCATATGAGTGACGCCTAACTTAGGCTTGACTCCCTTATGGATGACGCCTAACTTAGGCATGACTGGTGACTCCCAAATTCGGCGTGACACACAGCAATACACGCATAAATAGTTTCAAAACATATAAGTTAGGTAGATAAGTTATCTGCATTTATTCTCAAAACGACGTCGTTTTGGTATTGAAATATTAAAAAATTATAAATATAAGACTATTATAACCCTGAAATAAAATAAAATTACAAAAATACCATGATTTTCACCTTAAAACGACGTCGTATTGGACTTACTGCAGATAATTTATCTGCAGTAACTGCAGAAAAATTGAACTTTTTTTTATTTAAAATGCAATTAATTAATTTTTTTGCCGTGATTTGCAACCATGGAAAAATAACACACAACCACCTTTCTGGCAATCCTATCCTATGCATTTTTGTAAGTGTCTAGGAAGCACGCAATTTGGGTCAAAAAAATTAAAATATTACTATTTTAATAAATAATTACAAATACATAGCTGCTTCGAAATTATCTACGAATTTATTGCATTCATTCACGTCCAAATTAAGTGTGACTATTCACGCCCAAATTAGGCGTAACTCCCAAGGCATTCACGCCTAATTTAGGCGTCAATCATCTGGTGTTGACACGTGGCAAAAAAAAAGTCAACTTACGAACCGTAAAACTTTGGAAAGCCATAACTTTTGACTCGGATATCCGAATGAGGTAATTCTTTTTTTGATTCCACATAAATTTTCGAGATCTACGCAATGAAATCTCATTTGATATATTTTACCTCTCACAAACACAATTCAAATTTACAATATTTGTATATATTTTAATAATTAATTACGAATAAGTTGCCGTTTTGTACCTAATTACGAATATATTGCACTCATTCACGCCCAATAATGGTACTATAACATTAAATTCAAAATTCAAATAACCTCCAATAAGTTGATTGCATTTTGTATTTAATAGGAGTTGATTGTGTTTTGTATTTAATAGGAGCTGATTGCGTTGTAATTTTTTATGAGTTGGTTACAGATTGTCGCCAATTCAAATAAATTTGCTCGAGGTTATTTGAATTTTGAATTTAATGTTATAGGAGTTGATTGCGTTTTGTATTTAATAGGAGATGATTGCGTTTTGTATTTAATAGAAAATTTGGTGCCATCTTATTTATAGATGAGTTAATCCACTTTGGTGCCATCTTTATAGTATCATTGTTGCAAATTTGAATTGTGTTTGTGAGAGATAAAATATATCAAATAAGATGTTATTGTGTAGATCTCGAAAAGTTATGTGAAATCAAAAAAAGAATTACCTCGTTCGGATACCCGAGTCAAAAGTTATGAGCTTATAAAGTTTTACGGTTAAACTATTAATTTTTTGTGCTACGTGTCAACACCAGACGAGTCACGCCTAATTTAGACGTGAATGTCGTGGGAGTCATGCCTAATTTGGGTGTGAATAGTCACGCTTAATTTAAACGTGAATGAGTACAATAAATTCCTAGATAATTTCAAAACAACTATGAATTCATAATTATTTATTAAAATAATAATATTTTAATTTTTTTTTGCCAACAACCGGAATGGATACATTGTTCAAAGATTCCATATCTTATTTCCCCTATTCAATCTTTTTCAAACAGTTTTTCTTCTAACACGTAACTCCCCTACTTACTCCATCATATGTTATCGAAAACTTCCTTAAACTATGGGAATAATTGTGCTAACCACATGCCTATGTTTCCAGAGCATATTTGAGGCCTTAAACAAGTTGACACTCGAAATGCATAAAAATAGAATAAAATCAGAGCATAGTTTCCGCAGATCCCACTCTGTATTGCAAAATTATCTAGTGTTGAAAAGTTACATTTCATTTTTTATTTTTTCACAAATAGAATGATTACTTGGGTGGATAAAGTTCTTCTAATTCCGATCTTATTGGGAAGTTGTCAGCAAGGCAAGTCAAACAAGAAACGCACAAGAAAGCAACTGAACTCCATGGTTTCACGACAAAAAGTCTAATGTCTTTTGGTTAAGCTTAAAGTAGACTTTAAATATATATATATATATATATAATGGACTTAACATTTCTGCAGCAGCCGTAGATAGTGTTATCTACAACTAACACAAAAAAGTGGGCCCCACGACTTTTAAAAGAAAAAAAACTCAGGATCCATTGCCGTATCTTAGGATTTGGACGCAGATCCTTGCTTCTTGCTGTAGCTACAGCAGTTAGGAAGCTAAGCATCAGAAAGTTGGTTTCTTTTGGTTAGGTAGGGGCAAGGCCACAGAATTGGGGCATTCGCTGCAAATTAGAGGTTTGTGAGAGATGGGTTCGTTCGGAAAGCTTGCAAAGAGGGCCTTGGAAACTGAGATGCCGGTTATGGTTCAGGTACTCTCTCTCATGCAAGTCACTTATTCAACTTAACTTGATCCCTTCAATGGCTTCAAATGAGTGTTTGGACTTTGGACTTTGGATTGATGATTCTTGCCATGAGAATCATATAGATTTTGATAATCAAGATGGTTGTGTTTGCAGATGCAGGAATTGCTCCGAGGAGCTAAGAATGCCGTGTCTTTGGCCCAGGTCCTTTTATTTTTTATTTTTTATATTTTTATTTCTCTCCCCAGTTTTCAAATTCCAATGCTTGTTTTTTATTTGTTAATCTAACCTCTTGGCGATGATTGGGGAGGCAGTGAGAGAAGGAGATGGTGTTTCCAATGTCTGATTATAAATTAGTCTAAGCTTACTTTGGAGTTTGGTGTGCTATGGAGATTGAGAAATGGGGACAGTTTATTTACTACTCTTCAAGGATAAGGAAGTGTTTGGTGCGGGTTTAGATGGGGGTGTTCTTTTTGGGAAACTGGAAATGATGATGACAGACAGACACAGTCTTCACCTGCTGGTGTTGATCTAAAAAATGGTTGAGCACTTACCCACGACATTTCTTATGAGAAATGCATACCCAAAAATATAAATGAATTCAGAAAATAGCTCATGGAAAGGTTATTTCTTTCTTGTTTAACTTGTACCGTCGCTGTCACATAACACAACTATAATTTTGGCTGCGTTCTTCTATTCGAACAGTTAATATTGAGGTCCACCCCAATTTCCAAATTGCTTAAAATTGATTTTGAAACTTATCCAGGGCCTGATTTGTGTAATTTAGCTTACATATAGGATTGTGAGCTGAAGTTAAAGCTACATGATTTTGATTCTGCTTCTGATTTTGGTTAATAGTTCTGCTTACTTTTAATCATCAACTGAAGTTTGCAGTCAGATTTAACCTTTACTGCTTTGACTGGTGACCTCTAGGAGTTTTTTAAAATTTTCTTTTATGTGTTATCATTTTCTCCTTACCTGCATTTTGTGATGGATTTTTGAAATTTGTCTCCTATAGGGGGTGGTTCATTGGCAACCTCCCAAGCAAGCCTTGGATAAGGTGAAAGGACTTGTATGTGAACCTTCAATTAGTCGTTATGGTAATGATGAAGGTATTCCTGAACTCAGAACAGCTTTAGTCAAAAAGGTAAATGGTATAGTTTCTTCTTACAATCTGTATTCTTTACTAGTATTCAAACTCTAGTTATCTGTTTGAAGTTCTTAATTTGGATGGAGCTTGGGGCTTGCATCAGTTCAAAAGCCTATCAAAGCCTTTTGTAGCAGTTAAATGGACAGCGCAAAGCAGTTCACAGCGTAAATGTTGGTAGTAGTTTTTGTTTTGTTTAAGGATGATAACCCTTTTAAAGTAACGTGAGCTATGTTCTTTCACCTTCAGTTGAAGTTGATTGTTTACAGATAACATAGTTATGTACTGTCTACAAGACAACTTGTGATATCATTAGGGATATATAGAAATCCTATACCTTGCAGATTCTAAGTATATTGGAATTCGACCCAAGATTTACACTGCAGTTATATTTGTATACAAAAGGAGAAATGAATATAAATTAATCGTTAACTTTAGCTTAGGTAGAACAATAGACCTAGTAGTATAGTCTCGGGCCTCTTTCTATATCCAATTGCATTATGTTGGTATTTGGTGAACTCGAATATGGAATCAGCTGAACTTGGGTCTCTTGCAGCTTAATTGTTTTGGATTGAGTTAAGATAAATTTTTTAAATTGTAAATGCTGTTTGGCTATAACTCAATCTCTGTTTTACTTGATGTAACAAAGTTTTCTCTTGGCAATCTGGCATTAATTACTTGATTTTATTCTTTTGACATTATAGATCTGTCCAGGAAACAGTCTCTTTGTATTTAAGTAAGGGTAAGGCTGCGTACAAGGATTTTCCTCATCTCTATCCTCACTAGTCGGGGTTTGATGGGGAGTGGTTTATGATGTTATAGATCTGTCATAGATTGCTGCTTTTTTTTCCCCTTCATTGTTCAAAGTTTTGAATACATATATTGTTTTTTCTTTCCATAATCATGTATGTGATTGCTGCTTTTTTTCCCCTTCATTGTTCAAAGTTTTGAATACATATATTGTTTTTGTTTTCATAATCCTGTAATTGTGCCATATTTGTCTGTATTTCAGTCAGCTTTCTCCCACCATCTCTATGATTTGGATGTTTTTTTTTTTTTTTTTTTTTTTTTATATATATAGGAAATTAGTTGCTTTTACTATATGGCCATTTATATGTAATTGCTCTTAGTGACCAATTATTTTGCTATACGAAATTGGATCTTGGTGAACATTCAATTAACTTTGCTTTTATCATGTAGTTGCGTGATGAAAATAATTTGCACAAATGTTCAGTAATGGTTACAGCAGGTGCCAATCAGGTGAACAATGATACTCAACTATGTAATTTTTTATTTTTTATTTTTATATTCATTATTGTATTATAACCTAAAAAAGACATAACATAGTTTCTTAAAAGGGTGAAGTGTATTAGAATTTCAGCTTCCATTTGACTTCTTATGTTTACCCATTTAAAAGTATAGCACTATAGCCTTTCTTGCTTGTTTATCTAAAATCTTATGTACAACCATCATAGTGTTTCTACTCCTTTGTGTAACTTAAAGCATCTTAAGAGGTCAAGCATCTGATAGGAATAGCATGGCTTTTGTTACTTGGAGACAGTACCTTAACGTTGACTGAGTCAGCTTAGCAGTTTATAACTTTTATTACTTGTGGTATATTAATTTTATGCTACATGGATCTCTTTCTGGTGACTGGTGATTGAAGACTAATGACTATTGTAGAACTCGTTTTGTTTGGTTGATCAGTATAGTTTGAGCTTTCAAAAGTACTTGTGCGGATATCTAAACATCTGAGGTAACACTATTCCTACAAATGCAGGCATTTGTGAATCTAGTTCTTACTCTGTGTGATCCAGGGGATTCCGTGGTTATGTTTGCTCCTTACTACTTCAACGCCTACATGTCCTTCCAGATGACTGGCATTACCAATATACTAGTCGGTCCTGGTAACCCAGAAACACTTTATCCGGATGTAGGTAAGAACCTGCATGAGCGGGTTACTGCAATTCATTTTTACTGGCATGGACTAGGAAAGCAGAGGCAATCTTGGGTTGCTAAAAGCATCTTTTTTACTCCATCCAGGGGTTTACAAATTGGTCAATAGTTGGATAGATTGGGTCTGGAATTGTTAAATTATCAGAAACACTAATAAAACAGAGAACTAGCTTGTCATCAGATACATGCAAACCTTTCCTCTTTTCAGAAGGTGTGTTGGGCTGTTATGAACTCATGCATGTTCAATAGGTTGGGTGTTTTATAATGTTGGATTAAGTTCTAAGCCTCATCGTCTAATAGGTCATTACAATGTTGATTATTTGACTGAATTTTTGTTTCTAGTTTAAATTACTGAATGGTGATTAGGAATTTAGGATACCACATATGTAATTTCATTTATTTCCATGTCCAAGTTGCACATGCTGATGAACAACTATCTACACAATGCTGTCCCTTATACACAGATCAAAAATCTTAGAAAGCTGATTGGTGTCTGTTAGACATTAATCATTCAAGTTTATGCTTTCTTGTGGTGTTGGATTTCTTTGTTTAGGTCATTTATTAAGATCGTCTTGATTTCCAGATTGGTTGGAAAGAATATTATCAGATACTAAACCTGCCCCAAAGCTAGTTACTGTTGTGAATCCAGGCAACCCAACTGGAACTTACATCCCAGAGTCCCTTTTAAAGGTTTCTCTCTTGCTCTCACTCTCTGAATATATCAGCAGTTAGTATGATTTTTAAAGTGTTTCTTTTAAATCCTCTTGTGCAGCCAATATGCCTATATTTGACTGCGGCAGATAATATTCCCAATGAATATGTTGATTGACCATAACAAATTTTCTCTTGTAATTTATAAAATTTATATTCTCTTAATTGACCAGAGGATTTCAGATCTCTGCAAGAATGCTGGCTCTTGGCTTGTTGTGGATAATACATATGAGTAAGCCTTTTAACTTGCTATGCTAATGAAAAATATATCATATTTTTTTATTTAATTGTGAAAGGAAACAAAAGAACAGTCTCAGATATTTTTATATTTCTGTTATTCTGGTTTGCACCATTCAATTAATTGGTTGCATTCATGACAATTCCTAATTATTTTATTGGTATGTTTTCCCATTCATTATTATTTAAGATTAATTTTGAATCAGTTTCACCTATATTGTTGTCGGCCCCTTATGTTGTCTCTAAAATATCCCTATGAGATCTTACTAATAGTCATCACTCAGAGTACCTATAACGATTCTACAATTGTCTCCGAATTCTATCGTTCGAGTTGCAAGTTTATATTTCAAGAATTTCTTTTGAACAGATTAATATTGCATGCAGGTATTTTATGTACGGGGATCTGAAACATTCTTGCGTGGAGGGAAATCACATTGTTAATGTTTTCTCATTCTCAAAAGCATATGGAATGATGGGATGGCGGGTTGGATATGTAAGTACCACTTTGGATGTCTTTATTTATTTCCATCGGCATGAGAGAGAAACATTGAACTTTTCAGTTTATACGACCATCTTTAGTAAAACATTGGATTTCTCAGCGGTGTCGTGGAGCTTGTAAAATGTAAATAGTAGTGATGTCCAGTTGGATTTTTGGTATTGATATTATTTTAAGTCATTTTGCTTGTAAATTGTGATCGCTCAATCAATGTCACATAATACGCCAAGTCCTAGATTTCCATAACATCAAAAACCGATATAGCTTCGACTTTATATTTCTTCTAGGCAGCATAGAAGTTACATTTTTAAGTTGCAAAATTGATAGTTAGTGTTTAAAAGATCAGCACTGCCTAGTCTGACCTAAATATTTGATTTTTGCAGATAGCATACCCCTCTGAAGTAGAAGGGTTTGCGGCCCAACTTCTCAAGGTGCAAGACAACATTCCCATCTGTGCTTCAATATTATCACAGCATCTTGCCCTCTTTTCATTGGAAATAGGGCCTCAGTGGGTTGTAGACAGGGTAAGAAGTCTTGACAAGAACAGAGAAATTGTTTTAGAAGCCCTGTCCCCTCTTGGAGAGGGTTCAGTAAAAGGAGGAGAAGGTGCTATATACCTGTGGGCAAAGCTCCCTGATGGAAATGCTTATAATGATTTTGAAGTTGTTCACTGGCTAGCTAACAGGCATGGGGTGGCAGTAATCCCAGGAAGTGCCTGTGGTTGTCCTGGCAATCTTAGAATTTCATTTGGAGGCTTGACGGAGAACGATTGCAGGGCAGCCGCAGAAAGACTCAAGAATGGCTTACAAGAATTGGTTAGAGATGGATTGCTGCAGTGACTGAAATTAATCTTCAACCCTCACGCGCCTAAAGTGGAAAAAGAAACAAAGATTTCAGTTTGCAACTGGTGCATTTGAATAAATGGAGGATTTGCTTTCTACCCGGTTAAGTTGTTAGGGTTGATTTCGTTGGTAAAAGAGGAATGAAATTCGCTATATTTCCTTTATGTAGTATCTACTACATGGAGGTATATAACTGATTCAAATAGTTTGTGACAGGTGTGAGTGTGGAGTACACAACATTTATCTGAATGATTGAAAATTTGAAATTGAACTATCATAAAATCTGGCCGAATTTGTTGGAGCCTTCTTTTTTATTTTATATTTATTGTAGCAGCCTTCTTGTTGTTGTCTATGAAAGCTCTATGGATATTTATTTTATCTATTGTTCCCACGAGAGTTACTGCAGGGTGGTTGTGGTCTATTTATGAGTGTCGGACTCATTAGACCTCAAGCCGTCTTTCAATTTTATTGGCTAGCCATCTCTACACTTGAGGGTGTTGTCGGTAATGGTTCGATCTAGATCTTTTATGTAATCCTTTTTTCTTGCTTTCTGTCATAGGTCTTACCTGTAAGCTATAAAATTTTAATCGAGTTTATTACAAATGTCTGTTTAGATTAATTCAATATTTAATATTTAATTATACCCCTAATGTAACGCACGTTATATAATCTAGATGCAATACATTCACGGTATTTTAAAATTTCTCCTTATAGACGCTTCCGTGGTTCTCTATCTCTCGTTTTGTTGTGATTTACCCCAATTCCCACCATTGAGCATTGCTAGTTGGAACTGGTCGTTGCTGCTTTGGTTTGTGTCTGTCTCTTGTAGGGGTGGCAATTTGGGTTGGTCAGTCTCACCGCCAACCCGTTAAAAATGGGACGGAGCGGGTTGGCCCGTCAATAAATATGGGTTAAAAAAATGAACATATCCCGTTTTATGGTGAATTGGCGGGTCAATCCACCAATCCGCGAATTAAAAAAATTAATTAAAATTTAAAAATAAATTATATTTTATTAATTTTTCTAATATTATTTTATTTTATTTCACACTTCTCTACATTTTTTTAGTCTCAATCTTAAATGTATACTAATATTTGTCAAACATTCTTTAGGAACTCATATAGATAACATTTGTCATAAATAAAATTATTCTTTATTTTTTTTAGGAAGTATTAAGATAAAAAAATTGGATATCACAAAAATTTAAGAACTAATGAAATACTACCTAATTGTAAAAAAAAAAAATAAAAAAAATTATAACCTGGCGGGTTGAACCTGTTTGGACCCACTTCTAGGTAGGGCGGGTTGAAGTGGGTTGGTGGGTTGAAAACCTCAACCCAACCCGCCCCATTTTGGCGGGTTGACCCGCCAGACTCAACCCATATTGACACCTCTAAATAACCTGAAACGTTTTGAAACTATTTACGTATCAAGCATAACAATGGTTATTATTATTCTTTGGTATATATATACCAAACAATAATAACAACATATATATATATATATATATATATATATATATATATATATATATATATATATTGGAAAAATATTTCTCAAGCAGTTTGAGATAAGTTTTTCTCCGGCCACCCCAAAACTACGTCGTTTCACACACACACACACACACACACACACCCCAAAGAATCATAATAACTATATATATATATAGGGCTTATCGTTTTTCAAGTTGATAATTTTATTTCCAGCTAATAAATCATAACCGTACAAAAATGGATCAATGGTAATGAAGGAAGAGAGAGAAAAAAGAAATCATAATCATTCAAAGGTGAATCAATTAATATAAAGAAATAAATAAATAAAACGACGTAATTTTCGGATGGCCGGAGATAAACTTATCTCAAGTTGCCGAAGAAATATATATATATATATATATATATATATATATATATATATATATATATATATATACGAGGTAAATATTTCTGCAGCCACTTAAGATAAGGTTATCTACAACTATCCCAAAAACTACGTTATTTTGATTAACGAATGATGTTTCTGTAATTTTAGTTGAATTAATGAATGGTATTTCTGTAATTTTGTTTATTTTTTTATCATATGCATTTTACTGAAACACCCTTCATTAATTCACCTAAAATTACAGAAACACCCTTCATTAATCAAAATCTTTTAAAATCCTAATCCGATACATCCCCCTTAAAGCCTTAATCCTGGGACGCGTCCGAATCAGACTAGTCGTAAAGCAGTGAACCAATTGAAATATATATATATATATATATATATATATATATATATATATATAGGAAAAAATATTTCTACAGCCACTTAGATAAGGTTATCTACAACTACCCGAAAGACTACGTCGTTTTGATTAATGCGGGGTGTTTCTGTAATTTTAGGTGAATTAATGAACAGTATTTCCGTAATTTTGTTTATTTTCTTATCATATGCATTTTATCAAAACACCCTTCATTAATCAAAACGACGTAGTTTTTGGGTAGTTGTAGATAATTTTATCTAAAGTGGTTGTAGAAATGTTTACCCCATATATATATAGAGAGAGATATTTCAATTGGTTCACCGCTTCGCGACTAGTCTGATTCGGACGCGTCCCAGGTTAAGGCTTTAAGGGGGGTGTATTGGATTAGGATTTTAAAAGATTTTCTTGAGATAAAAAATCTTATAAATTTTAAAAGACTATTTAGAATTGGAGGGACTTTTAAGATTTTTTTAAAAGACTTTTTTTACAATCAAAATTTCATAAGATTGAATTTTAAAGGATTTTAATAGAATTTATAAGATTTTAAAAAATAATATGGATTTATAAGATTTTAAAAAAACCATATGAATTTTTGAAAAATATTCAAAATTACAAGGGTCAATAAAATAAATAACAAAGAAGTACAATGATATTAATAAAAAAAGTAAAATCTAATTTAATTTTTTCAATCAGTAAAACATAATATAATTTTTAATAAACATTCAAAATTTCTAAGCAACAACTCTCCACTCCACATATCTAAAGTTATACTAGTCTCCAAGCATTAGCATTTTCTCATTTTTGTTCTCGGGTTTGACCAATGGGTTGAAAATTATCTTATTCATTTGGTATCAGAGCTATACATATATGATTATAAAACTCAATTTTTTTTATTTATTAAAACAATTCTAAATTTACGTATAGAACCTAAAGTTCATGATAAAATTTCGTTTGCAATTTTTTGCAATTGATCTTGAAAACCTTTGAATTTTTGTTTTACGTGAAAAGAGTTTTCTAATTATATATCATATGCATATTTTCATTGAGTATTCTAAGAAAATTTCGAATATAAAATTTTGGATTTTATTTCATGAAAGTTTAGAATATTTCTTAAATTATTTTCAATCAATACATTAAAACCTTAAATTGCTTTGGTGATTTTGAAAAACAAGTTTTTAGTTATTTATTGACATAAAAATTGTTTGAAATCGTTTCTTATAGCGAATGAATTTCGTTCATAAATATATTGTTACGAAATATAGGGTTCATATTATGAAAGTTTTAATTTTCCTTTAAATTGTTATTATTTCATTGATGTAAAATGAAAATTGATTTGAGAATTTTAATTCCCTATTATTTTTCCATTGTTTTATGTTGTTTTTAATACATAAATTACACATTTTTGTGCCAAGAAAAATCGCGATTCGTAGCTTGAAAAATTATTTTTAAAACTTTCAAATGCTCCCAAAAATTGCTAAAAAATATACTGTTTTTGAGATGGATTATATTATAATCTTGTTGGTTTGTTATTTTTGGATTATTTTGTAATGAAAATCGTTCAAAAATATACTATTTTTGAACTTTGACGAAGCTCCCATGGCGGAACTCAGTTTTGAGTGGGTCAACTCGCCAAAGGAAGGAGAAGACAATACAATAGAGAAATCTCAAGAAATATTAGAGGTTAGAGTGAAAATATGAGAAAGACATCCTATTCATATTTCTCATTAAAAAGTCTCATGAAATTCACACAATAGAAAATCCACTAAAATCGTCAAATTTTTGAATATCACAAGATGGTTTTTCTTTTGTTTAAGATCCTAATTATGGATTTAGATGGACTCTAAAATAATATTTTGAAATCTTAGTCGAATATCACGTGACTTTTTTTCAATCCATTAAATTCTTAATTGAATACCAATGAATTTTTTTGTCCAAAAATAATCTATTAAAATCCTTTGAAATCCCAATACAATGCACTCCCCTAAATCTCTTTCAAAGACGACAGTATTGAACATATGCTCTCACCCCAACTAGACAGCTACCATCGTTTGGTCTTGTTTGATCCTTTCATAGACACAGTTTGGGCATGGAGGTTTTTGTTATTGTTATATCTCAAGTCTACGAGCACACAAAATTTTGTGTTTTGAGTTGAAATATTCTTACACATATCAGGAAAACATATTTCTTATAACGCAAGACATTTTGAAATATTTTAGGTCCAAGCTGTAATTTTTTATTGTCACACGATTCTAACAACAACATTCATGACATTAATTATGACATGGATGACCCAAAGTGACCACCCCCATAAAATTCAAATAAAAAAAAAGGGAAAGATAAAAAAAAAGTAAAAATTATTGTTAATAATTAAAGAAAAAGGGAAAGAAAAGCAAAATGAATAGGAGTTGTTGGTGGATCTAACCTCCCCATGTTCAAATTTTGAGAAGGAAATGCAAAGTTGTTGCGGGCTGGTGGGCCCATTCCGTTACCAGCACCAACGACTCTCCAAAGCCCACACAAAGCAAACAATTGGGTTCAGTTGCCAGCTCGATTAATTGTCCGTCAACAACACGAGAAAGTCCCAAGGACTGTTATATGGTTTGGTGACTGTTACTCCTCCGTTCACTCTTTCATTCGCCGTTTATTTTTAAAAGCCGCCGTTCACAGCCAGCGAAGGAAGCTTCTAGAGGGAGAGTGGTTTCAGTTACACGAACTAACACATTGTTGTTGTGACGATGAGCGGAGCTTCATTGAGTGGCCTCCAAGACCACCTCAAATTGGCCAGAGAATACGCTGTCGAAGGACTCTACGACACCTCAATCATCTTCTTCGACGGCGCCGTTGCACAGATCAACAAGTAATCATCGATTCAACAACCAATCTTCGTTTCAAGCAGCGTTTAACTGTTTATGTAATGAGTTATAATTTGATTTTTCATTTTTGTTTTTTTTAGGCACCTAAACAGTGTGGATGACCCTTTAATCCGTGCGAAGTGGATGAACGTGAAGAAAGCCCTAAGTGAGGAAACGGAAGTTGTGAAGCAATTAGATTCGGAGAGAAGGGCATTTAAGGAAATCCAAAGTGGACGACGCCCAGCTTCACCACCAATAGCATTGTCTGGTAAATCGTCCTTTGTTTTTCAACCGTTGGATGAGTATCCCACTTCTTCTTCATCTTCAGCCGTCGATGACCCCGATGTGTGGAGGCCACCTAGTCGAGATGCAGGTAGAAGATCCACCGCAACCACAAGGCCCAATTCTCGTAAAGATGGTGTTTGGGCTCGAGGTTCTAGCAGTACCAGAACCGCCACTACAACTGGTCGTGGCGCAAAGGCTAAGGTTAACACTGGAGCACGAGCATCAACCACGGGCAAGAAAGGCACTGCTTCTGGAAAGTCGTCTAGTAAGGCAGATTCACTTGTAAGATTCTTTTATCACTCGTTGTTTTGCCGTAGAAATTGTGAATTGAAAATAGGGTTTGCTGAGTTACTGGTTATCTGCATTTACGACTCGTATGGTTTTTTGTTATTTTAATTTATTTTAAGATTATTATATTCTTTATAATTATAATTTTTTAATATTTCAATCCCAAAACGACGTAGTTTTAATAGTAAATACAGATAAGTGTGTGCAGAATATTTTTCAATTGAAAATAATGTAGGCACATGATAGTTGGTGCATCACAATTTTTGTTGTTGTGTATAGAGTGGTGATGGTGAGGATGGGAAGTCAAAGAGGGCACAATATGAAGGTCCTGATCCTGACTTGGCCGAAATGCTTGAAAGGGATGTGTTAGAAACCTCTCCTGGTGTTAGATGGGATGATGTTGCGGGCCTCACTGAAGCCAAAAGACTTCTAGAAGAAGCTGTTGTTCTTCCCTTATGGATGCCTGAATATTTCCAGGTAATCTTCAATAATTTTGTATAATCATGGTTTGTATATAACCAATGCTTTGGAATTCTCATGTGTGTATATGATAATTGGTAAAAAATTTTATCATAGCAAGTATTTTTAGACCCCTGTTTGGCAATTACTTTTAGAACAAAAGTTCATGAACATAAACTCTCCTGTTACATCAAACTCCTATGTCATGGTGACATTTGAATCTCTGAATTAACGTTCTTTTCTCTGTTGAGTTTGTCTTTGTAAATATAGAAAAATTGTTCCCGTGGAGTTCATTATTTCTGTTCTTGTAGGGAATTAGGAGACCGTGGAAGGGTGTTCTCATGTTTGGTCCTCCCGGAACTGGGAAGACGCTGCTTGCTAAAGCAGTTGCTACTGAATGTGGTACTACTTTCTTTAATGTTTCTTCTGCTACTTTGGCTTCTAAATGGCGTGGAGAGAGTGAACGCATGGTACGGTGTTTGTTTGATCTTGCAAGAGCATATGCACCGAGTACAATTTTCATTGATGAAATTGATTCTCTTTGCAATGCTAGGGGGTAAGTCTTTGCTGTTCTTTCCCCAACATAATCTTCGTTTAATTTTCTTGTTTATGTGGCGTGTATACTTTAGGTTCATGAAGTAATGGAGATAATGTTTATCGACTCTGATGGCCCATTTGGTTTACCCTTAATTTGTACTGTCTCTATTATTTGAACTTTGATTGAGTTTACTTTTACTTCATCAGGGCTTCTGGGGAGCATGAATCGTCCAGAAGGGTGAAGTCTGAACTTCTAGTTCAGGTTGATGGTGTAAATAATAGTTCGACAAATGAAGATGGTAGCCGTAAAATAGTTATGGTTCTGGCAGCCACCAACTTCCCATGGGACATAGATGAGGCACTGAGGTCTGTGTTTTCTCTTCTGTTTCCTTTTCTTATTTCATCAGTTCAAATTGATAAAAGCTTGTGATGGGTTATATTTTTTGTCTGAAGTCTCTTGTAGTGTGCTAGTTACCACTTGCTGATTCAATTTGATGTTAATGGAAAGCAGGAGAAGGCTGGAAAAACGTATATATATTCCTCTACCAAAATTTGAGAGTCGTAAAGAGTTGATCCGTATCAACTTGAAGACTGTAGAGGCAAGTTAGGATGTTATATTACTGTGATGTTGTCTTTATATAAGGATCTTGACCCTACATTTCCTTAATTTTTTGTTGTTTCAAGCCTTTAATTGATTTCTGCAATGAATGGATGGATTATGTTATCTAGAGTTGAATTTGAGCATTCACTTTACCAAAGACAAGAGAAAATAATTGAACATTTAACAAGATAATAATTTGGTCTTGTCTTGCACCAGGTGGCCACGGATGTCAATATAGATGAAGTGGCTCGCCGGACAGACGGCTATAGTGGGGATGATTTGACAAATGTATGCCGTGATGCCTCTCTAAATGGTATGAGACGTAAGATAGCGGGAAAAACTCGTGATGAGATCAAGAACATGCCTAAGGATGAGATTTCAAATGATCCTGTTGCGATGTGCGATTTTGAAGAAGCTTTGAAGAAAGTCCAACGAAGTGTTTCTCAGGCTGACATTGAGCGCCATGAGAAGTGGTTCACTGAATTTGGATCAGCATGAGAAGATGACTTAGAATGATTTTTTTTTTTTTTTTTTTTTTTTTAAAAATTACTTTTCTGCACTGGCTGGATGGTTTGCCCCTATTTTCTTTTTTTGGTCAATATTTCGTTTGTTAACTGATGGTTGTTCATTAATTATAAAAAATGATGGTTGTTGGTTGAAATTCTCAGGTGTTGGAGGGGATCTTCAATGGTTTCTTTGTATATGTACAATTGATGATTATATGTTTTCAGATTGATTAATGGAGCGGTTGGTAGAGGGTTTTATTTTGGATTTATGGAAAACTGAATCTGGAAATTATATTTACCCACATTTGATATAAGGATTGGAATTTTTTTTTTGGGAAAATCAAATCTTTGGGATTTGAAATTATAAAGTAGAATCTGGTTGAAAAATGTATCAGATTTTTCAGGGTAAAGATACCCTTCTTTTTTGTACCGAATCTGAGAATAGGACTGAGTTAAAACAACACCCATTTCTGAATCAGCTTTGGACCATTGTGACAACATTCATTTTTTTGTTATATCAAAAGAGGCAAAGCCCCAAACAAACAAGGAAACACAAAGGAACAAAGGAACAAAGAAAGACAAGGTCCAACCTCAAGATCCTCCTCAGTTTTCTGGGTTGCCCTCTCTTCCCTGTCCCTGTCCCTGTCCACCCCAAACTACCCTTCAATGAGGCAAGCTCTTTTGTTCTTCTATTTCTTTTTATCTCCCATTTCCCCCATTTCTCTTTTCTAAATTCTATGCCACCATGCAAGTGAAAATGGTGCTATTGAAAACCTCTGCTGTATGCTAAAAAGACGTTTTCTGGGCTTAGGCGGTTAGGCCCATTCTTTTTACTACAAAATCAACATCAACAACACCTTTATCCCAAATTAATTGGGGTCGGTGGTAGATGAACCCACATGAAAGATATAAAACGGTTGAAAAAAAAATAAAAATAAAAATAAAATAAAAAAATAAATAAATTAATTAATAAATAAATAAAAATACACAAATAAAATAAAATAAAATAAAATAAAAATATATGTATATATAAATAAATAAAAGTAAAAAAGAAAGGGACAAGAAGAAGTGGGGGAAATGAAGGGGAAAAAGACTAAAAAAGGACCATCTGGAACATAGGAATAACAGCGGGTCTAACCCTCCACCATACTTATAGCTTTTCTCCATTCCTTTCTAAGACATACTGTCCGTCAATCTATATCTCACTCCATTAAATCTTGTTTTACTACTTTCCCCCAAGTAAGCTTCGGCCTACCTCTGCCTCTTTTTGTGTTTAGCTTTTGGTAACAAACTTCTGTTCTTACAGGAGCATCCATGGGTCTTCTCATCACGTGCCCAAACCACCTCAATCTATGTTCTCTCATCTTCTCGGCTACCGGTACTACTCCGACCTTTCGTCGAATATCTTCATTTCTTATCTTATCCATCCTTGTGTAACCACACATCCACCTTAACATCCTCATCTTTGCTACTCCTATCTTATGCTCATGTTGCCTATGTGCTGGCCAGCATTCCGCTCCATATAGCATTGCCGGTCGTACTGCCGTTTTATAGAATTTTCCTTTTAACTTCAGGGGAATTTTGCGGTCACACAAAAATGCAGATGCACTACGCCATTTCATCCACCCTGCTCTGATTCTGTGATTTACATCCTCATCAATCTCTCCACCGTTTTGTAAAATGGAGCCCAAGTATTTAAAAGCATTTTTTTTGGGTACCTCTTGACCATTTAGATGCACAGGTTCTTGGTCCTCATCTTGTACCAGAGAAAACTCACACTTCAGATACTCAGTCTTGCTTCGACTTAATGTGAATCCTCTGGATTCCAATGTGCTTCTCCACAATTCAAGTTTTCTATTAACACCCTCCTTGCTCTCATCAATAAGCACAATATCGTCTGCAAAAAGAATACACCATGACACTTCCTCTTGAATATCTTTTGTTAGTTCATCCATAACTAAGGCAAAGAGGTAAGGACTTAGAGCCGACCCTTGGTGTACACCTACCGTGATAGGAAAATAACTTGATGATCCGTTACAAGCTTTTACACATGTAGTAGCCCCATCATACATATCCTTGATTGCCTTTACATACTTTAATGGAACCTTTTTCTTCTCCAGGACCCACCATAAAACTTTCCTTGGAACCCTATCGTATGCTTTCTCAAGGTCTATGAACACCATATGCAAGTCCTTCTTCTTTTCTCGGTATCTTTCCATTAGTTGTCGCATCAAGAAAATGGCTTCCATGGTACATCTTCCTGGCATAAATCCAAATTGATTTACAGAAACCTTGGTATCTCTCCTCAAGCGATGTTCAATAACCCTCTCCCACAACTTCATAGTATGACTCATTAGCTTAATGGCTCTATAGTTTGAACAATTCTGTATATCTCCCTTGTTTTTGTAGATAGGCACAATCATACTTTTCCTCCATACATCAGGCATCTTATTCGTCTGGAGAATCTTATTAAAAAGATTGGTCAACCATTTTATTGCCACATCCCCCAGGCCTCTCCACACTTCAATAGGGACACCATCAGGCCCCAAGGCTTTATTAGTCTTCATCCTCTTTAAAGCCTCCTTGACTTCATGTGTATTAATTCTGCGTACAAATCTTCTATTCATATCATCATACGCGTCCTCTAAGTCCACCTCGCTTGTATCTCCATCCCCATTAAACAGCTTGTTGAAGTATTTCAACCATCTTTCATTTACATCTTCATCTCTCACCAGAAGTTTTTGATTTTCATCCTTGATGCATCTAACTTGAGTGAGGTCTTTGCTTTTCTTATCCCTTATCCTTGCAAGTTTATAAATACCTCTTTCACCATCCTTGCTCCCAAGATTTTTATACAACTCGTCGAAAACCTTGCCTCTCGCTTCTCGCACTGCTTTCTTTGCATTTTTTCTCGCCAATCTAAACTTTTGCAGGTTCTCTTCACTGGGACTTTTATGCAAAGATCTAAAGCACTCCTTCTTATGTTTAATTGCCTCTTGCACCTCTCCATTCCACCACCATGTTTCCTTTGTATGAAATCCATTTCCTTTGCTTTCTCCCAACACCCTCCGTCCCAAATTTTGAATACACTTAGCCATCTCATTCCATATTGCATTTACTCCTCCATCAAACTCCCAAGGTCCTTCGTGCAACATTCTATCATTGAACTCTCTCTCTTTTCCCTCCTTAAGCTTCCACCACCTTATCCTTGGATTCTGAGCCCTCTTCTTGATTGTACGTACTTTGTTGAACCGAACATCCAAGACTACCAGCTTATGTTGCGTAGCAACACACTCTCCAGGGTAGACCTTACATTCGACACAAGAAGTTCTATCTTCTCTTCTAGCCAGGAAGAAATCAATCTGACTACGATTATGGCCACTATGATAAGTGATCAGGTGTGACTCCCTTTTTTGAAAAAAGGTGTTCACTAACATCAAATCGTAGGCTAGTGCAACATTCAAGATATCTTCTCCAGTCTCGTTTCTCGTCCCATAGCCAAAACCTCCATGGATTCTATCAAAACCTCCATTGCTTTTACCAACATGACCATTTAGATCTCCTCCTACGAAAATCTTCTCCTCTCGAGGTATTCCCCTCAAAACCTCCTCCAAGTCTTCCCAAAATTGGCTTTTATCAGTTGGTTGCAATCCAATTTGGGGTGCATACACACTGAGGATATTCAGGATTAAGTCACCCACAACAAGCTTAACCAGAATAATCTTGTCGCCTTTCCTTTTAACGTCCACAACTTTATCTCTGAAACTTTTGTCGATCATAATTCCAACACCATTTCGACTCTTGTTCGTACCTGTGTACCATAACTTGAAACCAGTTCCATCCACTTCCTTGGCCTTTTCTCCAGCCCACTTAGTTTCTTGCAAACAAACAATATTCACTTTCCTTCTAGCAAAAACATCTGTCAACTCCCTCAATTTACCCGTTAAGGTTCCTATGTTCCAGCTTCCCAATCTCATCCTTAACCCCTGGGCTGTGCTTGCCCGCCACACTCGCCCATCTGCGTGTTGGGACCCTGGCATACTTCTCACCAAATCCGGGTGAAGACCTGGCGCCTTGCCTTGGGGCAAGGACCCTAGCCCACTTTTCACTACACCCCGGGCCCGATGCAGCGCCTTGCCTTGTGGCAAGGACCCTAGCCCATTTTTCGCTACACCCGGGGCCCGGTGCAACGCGTCGCTATGAAGGGTACGCCCCAACGAAAAATCATATAGGTTCATCACATAAAAATATAGCTATTTTTTACGGCCGGTTCGCAACACCTGACGCCAACCCTCCTCCTTTATCCTGGCTTGGGACAGGCCATGCATGCAAGCTTACTAAAAAGGAAAAAAAGAAGGAAAGAAAGACAAAGACAGAACGAAAAGAAAAAACAAAGCTCAACAAATCACCACAACAGATTTGGGAGCAGCAGCAAGCTCTTGTCCAGGATGAAGGAGGTCAGCAGCCATAAGTGTCGTTTACGGCCTTCTCTGTGTGTGTTGAGTGAGAGTGAGAGAGCTGAGAGTGATAAGATTTTTTTTGTAAAATTACCTCTCATTTTAAGCTAATATTTTCAGTAATATTAAAAAACTCATTTTCCTAGCATATTCATGTGAATCATGATTTTCAGATACAAAAAATTTCTCCTTTACTTAAATACCCATAAAGAAATTTATATTCTACAACTATATATTAAGTTTCACTCTTCTAATTTTTTTTATTTTTTTTTACATCATTTCCATTATTCATCCTTTATAATTTATATATACGTTCATATTCGTAAGTGCGGAATGTTTAACCATATGTTTGGAAATACGTTTGAGGTGATAGAGATTTGTAGGTCGCAAATTTTCTTTGAATTTCGTGTCAAGCATGTTTGGCAATTTTGCATCAAAATGAGAAGCAACATTTTGTTGTTTTTGTTGTGAAAAATAATAATTATAAGTTTATTAATTAAAATATCTTCGTAATATAATATTGTAATCTTATTCTAACAATATATATATAGTTTTACCAAAAACTTTTATTTACATATCAAGATAATATTATTTATTTCATATACCGTTATAAATTGATCCCACATATTGAGAGTGAACAAAATGGAACAAACTAATATACACAAGATAGAAAGAGAAATGATATTGTAACAATCAAGTAGTGTTACTACCAATGTTATTACCAATCAATTTTATTGTTAGATCGATTATGTTGATACAACAGTTATATTTATTTCCATCTTTGTATGG